TACATCGCAATTCGATGACACTCTGGCTCAGACACCAGAATGTTTTGACGATTTTTAGCATTCGTTTAGGATTTTCAAACAACCTGGTCTCTTTTAAAATACTTTTAATTTGTTCTTACGTGGTTTTCCAGATGTAGTGACGACAAAAACCGACTAAACAATAACATAGTAAACTTGCATAATTAAACAGGAACTAAAAATGATAGGTTTTACTAAATCTTTTCCTGTGCAATTATTACTAGCATTGGAGACAAGGATAATAGTTTGTTTGAAAGAGAAAAGAACAGGCTTTGAAGTAAGCCTAAAAGCGTTTAATTAGAAATAGTATTTCGAAAGTTATTAAGCACAAAAGATGAATTGCGTTTATTTTGATACACCCTGTATAGTCTGCGCGCAGGCGAGAAGGTTCAATTCCTACCAGAGGACCTTGTGCTGCATTTTTCGCAGTCGTTCCTGGTCAGGTCTTAAAGTGTATATATACTCACTTGGATTACAAACCCTAAAAACAGCATTCTAATAGATCTAAGTCTATTAACCGTGAACTAGCGTCTAGCGGATCAATTGAAATAATTCAACGCCAACAAGTTGGCGCTGTGTACCGCTGTATAGACTTAATTAATGCTCAATACCTAAATTACAGTGGAACAGTTGAGAACGATATCACATTTCCTGGCCTAGGCCAGGTCGAAGTGCGTTTACACTACAAAAATATAATCCAAAGGTAGGCCCATGCAGGTTAGGCTTAGCCGCTCGTAGTGTAAACACGGCTTAAGACTTGTAACTACTATGACTTCAAGGTTTATCTTGTATATACCTTATCTTACAGTAATGAACATAATCCATGTATCACGTTAAAAAGAAAAGACAGTCCCCTATAATATTTTGAGCGCTAAACCCAGGTTTCCAGAAAGAAAAAATTTTTTCCACCTCTAAGGAGAGCCTTCGTTGGATACTATAAAGTCTTCCTAACCTTTTTGAGTTATTTAAAGCCAAATCACGGCAACGTACATCATCTGTTTAGGGGCGGACCATTAGAAAATGGGGGAGGGGGGGTGGCAATTTCAGAAAAAAAAATCGTGCAAGGTCAGTTCAGAGGAAAAAAAAATCTTGCAGAAACCCAGCGTGGGAAAAAAATATCTTGCAAGTTATTAGACCAATATATATTTAGGTAAAGTTATAAACCTCAGAGAATAGTAAATCAATGGAATACATAGCAGGGATAATGAAATTTACACACATGACTTTCTCATCTCGCTTTATATATTTTACATGCCTCTATACAAGCTTTTTAGTACAGCGCGATCATACTCTTTGGGTCTGATCATTTTTTTACACAACAGGATATATTTTACTCTTACAATTTCACACATACATCTTCAATTTTATGTTCCACAAGTCTATAACCTACACTTATATTTCTTAGGTTCACATTTATACAAATACAAGTGGTTTTTTATCTTTTATCCTCAGGTTTTTCAAATACAACATTTTTTCACAGGCATACATTGTGATTGTGCCAACAACACCAGGCCATTACCCTATCATATTTCACACTACATTTTTTCATCTAACATTTAGGGACTGTTGTGGCATAAAATTATTACTAGGACACCAATATGGTTCTCATTACCTACATCTAAACCTAAAAAAACCTAAAAAAACCTAAAAAAACCTAAAAAAACCTAAAAAAAATTTGGAAGCCTAGTGGCCATTACCGTGGTGCATTTCAAGTAAACGGCACTTGGTTTTATTACGACGGGTTGTGGGAGCGAAACTATCTTGCCAGATGCCAAGGCCAGCCAGCCACTCCGGAAGGGTTTCTTCTATCACATTGTCTGTATTTATCAGTTTAATAAACGTCTATATCTCGTATTGTGTGTATGTAATGTAATTATATATTCAGTAAACAATATATATAATGGTAATATAAATAGGGCTGTATAATATTAATAAATTATAGTTCACATTCCTTTAAAAAAAAATCGTGCAACACAAGCATGGCTGAAAAAAAAAATCTTGCACAACGTTGTTGCAAAAAAAAATATCCTGCCCGAAAAAATTGCCACCCCCCCTCCCCCATTTTCTAATGGTCCGCCCCTTATATATTGGTCTTAACATTTCATGCTCCGTAAAGACCGATTTAGACTATATAAATTTTGCCTAAAACCGTCGCTTCTAACTTGCTTACAACTTGAGTTGTACTGTGTAAATCAACTACACAACACGGCGAACACGCCTACGTTCAGTTTGTTGTTGTGGGCGAATTGTGTGCCTGATTAAGTCAAAAGTTGTGTAATGTAAATCGGCTTTAACATATTTATTTCAGGTCGACGAGGCGGCCGAGGTAAAGCAAGAGCTGACTATGACTGCACAGTACGAGTTTTACCTTCAAAAATCCGTCGAGAGATGGGCTTACACAGTTTCTATCAAAAGTACGCGCATGCGTATGGCGTCCCGATCATCAGCTCTAACCGTGCGGATAGCCGAGCTATCCAACGTGCTTGTTATGTAGTTCGCTTTGCACTTGCTGACCGAAAAGACATTCGGGACTGGCTACACGACCGCTATGGCCGTGCTGGTGTCATCGCCGAACGCGAGCGCACGACGGACATTCCCGAACATAGCTATCTTCCTAATTGGTGGAACCAGCGTGCGAGAGGTACATGTAATGATATTATTATTGCGTCAAGCAATGGCGGGAGCAACAACAAAAAGGTGTTCCTCCAACCCATACCGCCTGATTATATTATTTGGGCCCTCAGCAGTGCTCAAACTAACGGCCGGTCAACGGACAATGACCGGCCAAAAATGCCTCTTGATCCGGTCACTTTTTTACCTCACTGGTCATTTTGACCGGCCACATTTTCATGCCTTCCAATGTGATTGCTGACGAGTGACGTCTTCAATTAAAACATGAAACTATGATGTATCGAAACAAGTTTCTAATAGTTTATTTCACTGTTATAGTGTAAGCGTATCAATGACCGGTCAAAAACAGATTTTGACTGAGCTAAAATCAAGTTGACCGGAGACCTATCTCCCGTTGAGCCCTGTGTGGAAAAACGTTTTCTGCTTCTTTTGTTCCTTAGCCAGTAGAAAATTATACTTCTGTTGCAGTGCTCACAGAAAGAAAATATTTTCCAAGCCTACAATTCAGTGTCCGTATTAGAGAGGTGCGAGTATGCTTTTATCATTATCATTTAGGTCTAGGAGCCACTCTGGATAAACCGATCTCAACCGGTGGAGAAGAGAATATTTTGTGTCGACCGAGTGATCGATATTACGGCGGCGGCCGTGGTGAGGACATTTTCCTTCACGAATTTGCACACGCCATACACAACCTTGGTGTGACCGGAGCCATTCCTGGTTTTGATCGAAGAATTAGAGCGTTATACAACAAGAGAAAGTACGGTACAGATCGACGGTGGAGTAACACTTACTACTTGAGTACAGGTATGCGATCGATCTAGTGTTACGTACAGCGGTACGACACAGAGTGAGATTTTGGGCAGGTCTTGGGGCGCTTTCCATTAACTCGGTCAGACTGGTCAGAACGGTCAAATTATTGAATGAAACACAAAACGTTTGGCCGGGCTTTGGACCTTTCCGACCGGAAACGTCGGAGGCCCATTTTCGCTAGATTTTCGAGAAACGTGAGCCAGATCTTTCCATTACTACCAAGACCGAAATTCTGGTCTAATCGGTCTGGCCATTAAATGGAAAGCGTCCCTAGGGCCAACGTTACACAGTGAGTTATCCATTTACCTTGGTAGTTGTGAATAAATTGAGAATTATTCAATAATTCCTATACTAGATTTTCTTTTACTCCAGATCGCGAGTTCTTCGCAGAGGGAGTGACAAGTTATTTCGACGTGAATACAGAGACTTGGAACGGCAAAGCAAATGGGATTCATAATCACGTGAACACGAGAACAGAACTCTTCAGTTACGATCGCGATCTTTATAATATAGTCAAGGAGGTGTTCCCATGTGGAAATAGGTTTTTGGATAGATGCTCTGCTTTGAAAGGTGCGTGGTGTTTTAGTGTTGAAACTAGAAATGAGTGAGTGCATGGATTTCATCGTGCAGCAGATGTCAATCAGCAGACAGCAGTTGTAAGGGTCGCATTCCAGTTAAGCGTTCAGTGGTTTTCGTATGTACGAATATATTTTATGTATGATTTAATGTGGATTTGTTGAGGTAATTGATACTTATGCACAATTTTGAAAGATTTAAACTTTTCCGTGCCTATCATGAAGTCCAAAACAAAGGAAAGATAAAATGGTAAAATTTCACTTCGAGTAATATATTCAGCCCTTTTTTGAACATATAGGAAGTGGAAGATTGATTTCAGGTTGGAGAAGGGGGGGGGGATTAGCAAACTCTAGGAGAGTCCGGATAGGGGAGTTCAAATACCGTTGAATCTCACACCGGCCTTTATATCTTTCTTTGTGTGTGTGTGTGTGTGTGTGTGTGTGTGTCGGGGGGGGGGGTGCTTCGTCCCCTCACCTCTACTGTTGGAGGCTACAGCCTTGCACATGCCTCTTATGATGATAAATGAAAGATAAGTATTCTGTTATTAATTACAGGCATTTTTTCTGTTATTTAGGTAAAACACCACCTCCGTTCAAAATGAATTGTAAGTTGTTATGGCAATATAAATTGTATTTTTTTGGAATAGAATGTTTTGGTTTGTGAAAACACCACGTACATTTATTAGTGCAAAGCTTCCCATTACAGTAAGCCCTGATTTTCATCAGTATCAATACCAAAAATGCAAATAATTTTTTCATTTACTTCTCTTCCACGCCGCTAACTGTGCATGCGCTCTATCTATTTCAGGTGATGGCAAAGGTGGCGGGGTCAAACCTAAACCAAAACCTACAGTAAAACCAAAGCCCAAGCCTAAACCGACAACATATCCAACACCGCCATTACCAACCACAACTCAAAGTGGTAAGTGTATTAGTTTTCCCCACGTTATTTCGTTCTTGTGTTTTTGAAGGCTGCCAAGAACGTACCAACGGATATATATCTAAAGGCTTCGGTGGGGCAATCGTCCGAGTTTCGGTTGCGCACCTCTGAGATCGTGGTTCGTTTCTCGTTCAAGACTCAAGACATTCATGTGCATGAAAAGAGTTCGTCAACGCGGCTCTGCCGAATGGACAACTTGCATGTTAGACTAAATTTTAATCTAAGTAAAGAGAAGGGAATAAAACACAACAGTTAAAATGAACATAATGAAATTAGTAAAATTGCAAAATTTGGTTGCGAAATGTTGTAAAATACAGAAAATATAGCCTTGCGAAGTTTGCATATTTTCAGTATGTTTATATTACGTGCGGAAATTGTTACCATTTTTGAGCCGAAAATGGTAACAATTTCCGCACGTAATACAAATATACTGAAAATATGCAAACTTCGCAAGGCTATATTTTCTGTATTTTACAACATTTCGCAACCAAATTTTGCAATTTTACTAATTTCATTATGTTCATTTTAACTGTTGTGTTTTATTCCCTTCTCTTTACTTAGATTAAAATTTAGTCTAACATGCAAGTTGTCCATTAAAGTCGTGGGTTTTCTCCGGGTACTCCGTTTTCCTCCCACAGGAAATGTTGGGTTGGGATTAGCCGCAAACTGACTCTTCCATCGTAGCTGTACTTCGTGATCAGAAACGAGTCATAAGGCGACTGTCAGATCGAGGCTCTCTTAGACAGCCTTCGACTATCACACGTAATATCTCACAACTTGTCAACAAGATGTGTTCCCAACAGCCAACATGCTTGTAGCAGGCTTGTCAACAAGTTGTAACAATGTTGTCATTTTATCAAGTTGCTACAAGATTGTCACTCACAACTTGTTGACAAATTTTTGAATTGCTGGACGATAACAAGTTGTTGGAACAACTCGTAACAAGTCTGTTGAGCTCAACAACCTTGTAGCAACTTGTCAACAAGCCGTTGACAACTTGTCATCAAGCTAGGAACAATCCTTATGAAAAAAGTCTATAGGTGGCCTATAAGTGCCTATAGGAAATGTTCCAATTCCCTATAGAAGCTTTTAGGCATCTATAGAGCTCTATAGGATTATAGGCATCCCTATAGATCACCTATAGAAAATGTTCCAATTGCCTATAAAAACCTATAGGTTTCCTATAGGAACCTATAGGTTGGCCTATAGGCCAGGCCTATAGGCCAGGCCTATAGACTTTTTTTGTAAGGGTTAAGCAGTGCGAACACATCCTGTTGACAAGTTGTTGGAACATTGCTACATGTCTGCTGCAGGTTTGTTACAACTTGTGCGTTTTTATGCGTGATCAGATAAGGTTGAGCTGCGACTGTGTGCTTAGAAATCCAGCTTAGCTCTTAGCTGAGGATGATTAGCATAGACTCTCATTACTTACACCCTCATCTGTTTAAAAATGTTTAGGTGACACAATGCACGGTTTACGTATGTGGTGCCTTTGAGTAAATCCATTTACCGAGTCAATTCCGAGCCCGAGTCAAACACCCGAGTCACGTAAAAAAAAGACGAAATTGAAGAAAATTCACAGTCGAATAGGGTTAGGAGTATGGTTAGGGTTTGGGTACTAAGTCTTTGAACCGGCAAAGACAGTTAAACAGTGACTCGGACATTTGACTCGGTTAACCGACAAACTCCGCAGTTGAATAGTCACAGTCGAATAGGGTCCTAGTACGTTAGGAGTGGGGTTAGGGTTAGGACTTAGGGTTAGGAGTAGGGTTAGGGTACTAAGTCATTGAACCACAAATTAGACCACTAAACAGTGACTCGGACATTTGACTCGGGCTCGGATTTGACTCGGACTCGGATTTGACTCGGTTAACCGACAAACTCTGGTGCCTTTCACCACCGGGTTATAGGGCGTATCTGTAGATATTTTGTTATTTATGGTTACAGGTTGTGCTGATAAAGCAGCACCTGCACACTGTCGAGTCTGGGTGGCCAAGTCGTATTGTACACAACACTATAAAGACTACATGATGAAGAATTGTAAAAAGAGCTGTGGCTGTTGTTCGCCGCTTCAAAAGGTTGGTGCCTTTTACCAAAACTACTGTAAACAATATGCAACGAAGACAAACTGCGACAAATATGCTTGGGTTAAGAAAACCTGCAAAGTGGTCTGTGATTGTTTGTAGTGGCCATCATTGGAGACAAACAACGAACTCAGTGACAACAGAACAAGCAAGGGCTCCCATTTGAGTTTATGATTAACTAATACATGTATAATTAAATTGTAATTAATAAAATGTTTTAAAGAAAAACAAATTTAGTTTTATTGCTATAGTTGAAAATATCTGGATAGAATTAAAAATGCCGTCTCAACCTCCAAAAATAAATTGCTTTTTAATATTTTTAAAAATAATCAGCAGTACATTTTCGCAAAATTCTTGTAAACTGTGAAGAGTCCAAAAAGAAGTAAAGGCTAAAGGCCAAACCTTTTCGTCCTCAAATGAAATATAAAGAAGGCAAATTCGAGTTATTTGGCGTCCAAGAGGCCAATTTACGAACCCTCCATTTAATGGTCAAACCCAACCTCGTTCCCAGTGGGTGCTCGCACTGCTTGTTCCCAGTTTGTTGTAATAAGTGTGAAACAAGCTGTTAACAACTTGTAACAAGCTTGATGGCATTATCAGCCTTGTTACAAGATTGTGCTAACAAGTTTGTTACAGCCATGATATAACAAGGAAACATGTTACAAGGTTGTCAACACAAGGTTGTAACAATCTTGTTATATTATATCAAGCATGTCACAAACTTGTCAGAACAACCTTGCAACAAGTCTGATAATTTCGACAAGGTTGTTACAATTAGTTGTCAACAAGTTGTTCCAAACCTGTTGACAACTTGTGACAAGCAGTGCGAATACATCTTGTTGACAGCTTGTGAACAGACTTGTAACAAACTTGTGCGTTTTTACGTGTGTATCCAGAACAGACACGTGACACTGCAGATTTTGTGCATCCAATGCACACTGCATAGATGTTATTTTGAAGGGTTAACTGCTATATTACATGGCGGCGCGAAGATCTTCGAGTGGTGAAAACAATATTTTACGAACGAGCGCAGCGAGTAAAATATTTTTTTAACACGAGAAGATAAAAGTCATATCTTCAAGCCAACGTGTAATGTTCTGTTTATTATATAGTCCCAAGCAAAAAATTGTGAAATTTGACGCCCAAAAGCAAATTGGAAAAAGTGCCGTGATGGATATCTTCACTAGTTGGTGAGATGTGGAAAATATCTCACTGTGTATTTTTCAGTCTCTACTATATAATAAATGGATATATACTTATTATATGCCATTTGAACGCCAGGGTTGGGCAAAATCAACGATCGAGTAAAAACGTAGCAAACGCCAAACGCATACTTAGTCAATAGATATACAAATAACAGTAAATCATTATATATTTATTATGCGAATAACTAATGAATATAGTGATGCATGCCCTCATATTATTGTGACAGTGTTCGAAATGTTCTAGAATAGTAAATGGCAGTCTTACGTCTTCACAATTTGTTCTGATTGGCTACAAGTATCAACCGCCCACTTGGAAAATTGTTTGCATTTTGTTATTTTGTATTATTTTTATTTTGTATTGGCAGTGTGACCACAGGGTGTGACGACAGCAAGACAACATGGAGTGTGACTGTGTCAGTTGAAATTCTATGGTCAGTATTTACATTTTTATACAGCGAAATTTCTGGCTCCACACTTTTATTTTTGACGTTTAAATTAATATTCTAGCAGTCTGAGGCAAAATGTTGTTAGAAGGTTTGTTTATTTGCGGCCAAAACGAAGCAATTCCATTAAAAAGTCTTTCCGTACAAGCATTTCTGCAGGGCTACGTAGTAGGCTTTCGGTCGACATTGACCTACGAAAACAACACCTCTAATCCACTCGAAGTACTTTTCCGTACGCCTGTCGACGACTCCTACGCTGTCGTTGGCTTAGAAGCCTGCATCGATGGTAGAAAGATCCGTGCAGAGGTCCAGGAGAAAGGAAAAGCGAGGCAGATGTACCAGGAAGCTATTTCAAGAGGCCGTACAGCCGCTTTTGGGGAAGAAAAGGAGGGTGATATATTTAGTTTGGTCCTGGGTAATCTCCCCCAGGGCGAAAAAGCTGTACTACAACTCACGATGGTCGGCGAGCTAGCTGTTGAACCAGATGGAGCGGTACGGTTTGTTCTACCAACAGTACTAAAACCCCGGTACGCGCCTCCTGGGAGTACAAATCCCCTAGCACCAGAAAATCCTACTTCAGGAAGTGGCCCAGTGTACCATGCTACCGGACCCCCAGAATATAAATTTGACCTGGTAATCAATGGAGCTCCTGGTATTGAAGACGTGACATCGCCATCCCATGAGATTCATGTTGAAAATTCTGGTCAGAATATTAATGTTTCATTGGCTGAAGATAAACAAACTGATATAGTCATTCTGGTTCAACCAAAGGAAGCACATAAACCTTTGGTAATCGTTGAACCTGGTTTGTCAAATGGCGAAAACGATTTCCAGAAAAACACGGTCATCATGGTCAGCTTCTTCCCAAAATTCAAAGGTGACACCTCATGTCTCCAAGCTGCATGCGAATTTGTGTTTGTTATTGATCGCAGTGGCAGTATGGCTGGGTCCTATATCAAAGATGCAGCACAAACACTCTTGCTGTTCCTAAAAAGTATCCCAGAAGGTTGTTATTTCAATGTGATTGGTTTTGGAAGCAGTTATAAACTTCTGTTTCCTGAGAGTGTGGCCTACAACCAGGAGAATTTGGAGATTGCAGTAAAACACGCAGAAAACCTGCAAGCGGACCTTGGCGGCACAGAACTATTTGATCCTCTCAAGAACATCTTCAGCCATGCACCAATGAAAGGCTTGCCGAGACAAATATTTGTTCTCACTGATGGAAGTATTACAAATACAGAATCTGTGATTAAATTGGTTGCAAAGAATTCAAATAAGTCAAGGTTTGTTCATGTTTTCCCACATAATGTTCTGCAAGTATGTCCCCTTGAACCATTGAGTTGCATTGCATATTATTTTACTTTGTACTCTTTGTCTAAATTACCAGACAATCTTATTCATCAAAGGGAGGGCTCTGGCAGTCACGACAGTCGATATATCATAATTTGCCTGATGGTTTTGCCTGATGGTTTTACTTTTTCAAGGGGATTCAAACTATAGTTTTGCATATATGAGCCATTTTTTTAATTAAAAAAAAATTTGCTGTGGTCCCCCTTTTTTGACCCCATGGTTGCCTGTGGTTCCCACTTTGCATTTGACCAAAATTTTTTGACCCTGATGGTTGCTTGCATTTGACCAAAATTAAAAAAAAATTCAAAACATGTTTTTATCAATAAAAGGTTATATTGTTTTGACGAAAGAAAAGGTTTTTGGCAAATTTCAGAAAGTTTGGAATAGGTTGAAGGACTTTTTGAATTTTTGAAAAAAATTCTGTGGTCCCCCTCTTATGACCCTATGTGCACCCCCCCCCCAGAAATTGTTTGCATCCCCACAGAGGCATTTGGCACCACCCCAAAATGTTTTTGCACTTGCACAAATGATATATATTACCAACGCCCTTCTCGCCCGAAAAAATTTGGGCATAGATTTTAAAATCTTTTGCAACATTTCTTGTAAATAATGCAAGCCCCCAAAATGAGAAAATAATACACTCTATGGATTAAATGAAAACAGTAGATCCACAGTTGTAACAAGTTTGATTTGAATTGATATTTTCATATTTGATATTTTGATTATTCTTAGGGACAGACCATTAGAAAGTAATTGGGGGATAAAACCAAAAAAAAATTATTCCCAGAAAAAAATTAGGGAAAAAAATCTTTCGAGGCATAGTGGAAAAAAATTCCTTGCTTGGAAGATAGGCCTATAAATTTCACTTAAAAAATTTCCAGTGAGAAAAAAATTCATCTATAGGTGTACAAAAAAAATATTGCCTCCCCCCCATCACTTTTAACTACTAAATTGGTAAAATTACTAATATTATGGTCTCAGATGCCGCCATGCAGGCCTAGAAAAGACAAGTTTTGTTAAATATTTTCCTTGGTCTTTCTGGGCGTTGCCACCAGGCCCCAGCCAAAGCAAGCAGCAGCACCCCCCAGATATTTATCCATGCACCCCCTCCCCGAATGAAAATATGAAAAGTGATATCTGTAGAGTCTGACATGCATTCTCAACATCCATAATCTTGTCAACTGACTATATATATTTTTGCATTTCTATACTGTACAAAAATTAACTAGTAAAGGCCATTTTTTCACTTTTTACATTTTTGAAACAGAAGCAAAAAGTGGCCAAAATTTGCGCTATATTATTTAAATAATTTTCTTAATTTACTTATCCCAAAGGTGTTTCTCATTTGGTATTGGTTCTGGAGCTTCATCAACTCTCGTGAAAGGAATTGCTGAAGCTGGCAAAGGTGCTGCGGAGTTTATTACTTCGGGAGAGAGGATGCAAGCTAAGGTAAAATTGGTTAACCAACAAAACGTAAAGGGGTTAACCTTTCTCTTTTAATCATTTTTTGACAATTGGACAAGGCACATTTTGGCAATTTTTGTACTTTTGAAAATGTGGCCAGAAAAGGCAGAAAAGTAAAGGACTGGTTTAGTCCGTTAAATTTTCGTCTACTTTTACTACTGTTTTAGGTACTTTTTCACTTGCGAAAAATGGAGAAAAGAAGAACAAATATTAAGGGGGTTAGCCTTTGTTTTTGGCTATTTTCAAGCACTTTTTCAATTGTTAAAAAACAGGCAAAAATTCGACAAAACGTTAAGGCTAACTCCTTAACCTTTTTAGTTAATCCCTTACTGTCTGTCTTTGTCCGAATAACATAATAATTTATTAACAGGTGATCTGATCACTGAAGAAAGCCATGCAGCCAGCAGTTACCAACACCAACGTCTCTTACACAGTTCCTGATGGTGTGACAGTCACTGCTGTACCAAAAAGTTCTCTGCCAGCAATATTTATCGGAGAACGTTTGATCGTCTACGCCATCCTTCGTCAAAGCTCGCCGCCTAGTAAGGCACAAAAAGGATCAATATGTCTGAGCGGAGATTTACTCGGAGCGAAAGTTAAACACAAGATGAAGTTTCAAATTCCACTTGCCGTGACGAAAGAGAACATGCTGCAGGTCTCGACTATTCATCATCTTGCGGCCAAAAAGTTGATTAAAGAAATAGAATTAGATTTCGAGAGTAGATATGGTCTGATGAATACAGAGATAATTCAGCTCAGTTGTGATTCGAATGTCATATCTTCCCAAACGGCATTTATCGCCATTGATGAAGAACGGAAGGAGGCGGTGAAAGGAAGCTTGGAAACATGGAATATTCTGCCTGATATCGAGGAAGATTTATCCATGGCTTGTTCCTTTGGCTATGAGTCTGATGATTCTGACCCGGAATTCTGTAGCTATGGGGCTAAGAAGTCATTGGGGAGTGCAGCACTGGAAAGTAGTGGTTTTCTGCTTGATGACGAAGCATTCCTGAATTTTAGATATGAGCCCGAGAAGTCATTGGGGAGTGCACGACTAGAACCTGGGCGTTCTCTGCCTGCTGACGAGAAAAAATCATTCAAAGTGAGCATTAAAGCAGAACATCCTGATGACGAGGACCACGAGGCAGACCGGTTGGGTTGTCTTCCTGTGGCTGATTCCTTTCCGCCTAAGCGTATGATGGCAAGGAAGGGCTGTGCACCACCACCACCACCTCCACAAGTAAGTTCTCACTATGGGGCGAGTGCGCCACGTCCACGAAAGGCCACAAATGCGCCATTGACTGAAGATCAAAACATCCTTACTAAAGGTTCGACTGCAACGAATCCACTTACAAGTATCATCAACCTTCAACTGGCCAGCGGTGCTTGGAAAATGTCTGCAGAGATGGCAGGTGTGATGGCTAAATCCACGGCAGAGATGAAAAACGCATGTCCAGTGCGTTGCGAAGGTGACATGGAAACAATCTGGGCGACGGTGATTGTTTTCATTTATCTAGAACTTCGACAGTCAAATTTCAGAGATGAATGGGTGTTGATTGCTGGAAAGGCTCAAACATGGCTGAAAAAACAGAAGCTTCCTGAAGGATGTTCCATTCAAGTTTTACTTGAAAAAGCAACAGCATTTCTCTCTTGACTTTATCGAACGTTAATGTTGGTAAGGGACCGGTCATTAATTATAGTGGGGGAGAGCTGGTGCAATCGAAATATATCATGCTCATTTTTTTCTGTCCTTCCCCCAAAGTGATGCGCACTTTTGTCCGACGCCCCCCCCCCTGCCAGCATTTTTATGGTTTGTACCTTATAATTTAAATCGTCATTTTTTGCTGTAAAATAAGTAATGGGACAAGTATACTGGTGTAAGACATTGTGTAGCCTAAATAATTAGAGGACCAGTTTTCAAAATGGTTGTTATTTAAGGCGCTGTTACACTATGGAATTTATCTCGCAATTTTGTTGGAACACAAGTTGCACATCCCTCTAGCAACTAGTCTCGCAATGTTTATATATAACATTAAGTGGTTTCCTATTGACTTTTGACTGACAATATGGCGCCAAACGATAGCACTCGCGGTTTTTATACTATTTTTAATAATGATTATTACAAGTTGCATGGAACAAATTGCTTGAATCCTTTTCCGGCTGATAATTTCAGCAAAAATAAAACAAACATATCTTGCAAAACACTGCTGAAGATGGATCTGATTTAGATTCGAAATATACAGTTTTAATAAATTGTGTACATGTGTTAATATTATGCACTCCTTATTCGGAATAACTTTTGTTTTACATATTGCTTGGTGTAACATCCCTTGCAATACAATCCTGAAATCGTTTTTCTTAACATTGCAAGACAAGTTCCGAGACAAGTTACTTAGTGTAACAGTGCCTTTACTCCGACTTCTGTGGTGAACATATATGTAATAAACTATGGAAACTACGGATTTATATAGAAACTAAAAAAGGTGAAATATTTTGTGGGATATGATAGAAGACGAGCGATTGAAAATAGTAGAAAAGGCAACCCTGCATACCCACACACAAGTTTCAACACCCGAAACAACATTGGTACAAATTTCCAATTAACATGTGTTAAAATCAGATTTTATTGCAAGTCGCTGCAATTTAAGCCAATTTTGTTGCTCGTATTACTTTACCTTAAATCATTAGTAACCAGTGTTAGTAACTTAATAGTAGTTACCAACAGACAAAAGAAACGTTGAACATACGATTTCAAATATTTATTCAATGTATACTTTATAGTCTAAAAATGGGCTAAAATGGACGAAAGTTAATGGTTAGCCTTACTTTTATGCCATATTTTGCCTGTCTTTCAAAATCTAAAAAGGGTTAGAAATGGTATAGACCATTTCTCAATTAGGTTTCACATTGACCTCAACCTGGTGTTACTCTAGAGCGTATTATAAATTTGGAAATGGTCTATTAGTTTTTGCTCTTAAACTTAATTCAGGTCTCCACTGACACTGTACATTGCCTGATAAAAATTTATTTTTATATACTTTGTTTGGTTTAATTATATGTTAATAACTTCTTTTTATAACAAAGGCTTGAGTCCTGAACCAATTTTTTAAGCGTCAGTGGTTGAGTGGTTCGCATTTTAAAGATAGCCGAGTAAGCCGACCCCCCGGTCATTTTAAAAAAGCTCGGAATTTGTCGACTTGTATCGTACAGTACCGAGGTCCCGACGGAGGACCGGGCATTTCCGAACTTTAATTTTTTTTTACCGCGTGGTGAAGAAATTTGGAGAAGCAAGGAAGAAGAATAGAGGACATTTTTTAATCAAACTTTAACTTTATTGGAAGGTATTATGGTTTATTTAATATCAATCCTTGTAGAAGAGTACTTAGATTGCCAATATAGATGAAAATTTAGGACAACGAGCCCGAATTTAATGCGATATTTCAACATAAAGTTTGTGCTTTTGCTTTGCACGTGGTTCGCTTTAAGGGCGATTATCGAACTCTAAACCGTGCTTTAATTCATAATCATTGTCGACCAAGTGAGTAAAAAGACTAATTAAGATCCAGAATTGTGAGATCTCTGAGTTCTTGCCGAAAATTGTGTTTTTGTTCATATATATGCAGAAAAAGTCTTGCTTTTATAGCAACATTACAATGTATTTGATTCTTGCTTGTGCAAATTGTTACAATAGGACAAAATCCAGAATTGTGTTTCTTGACATCACTGCAGGCTGGTAGTGAAAAGTTAGGAAGTGCTTTGATAGGTGGGCTAATAAGATTAATAAAGCAATACCGTATGGGATACGGGCAAATCCGTGCAGGATTGTGTGCTCCATGCACAAGGGATGTCGCGAGACTTTGGAAAGCGTAAAAATACTCGAGCCGCTGGTAAGTGTATTTTTACACTTTCCAAAAGTCGAGCAACATCCCAAGTGCATGGATCATGCTATCCTGCTTGGAAAACCATTTAGTAATTGTTTTATAAAATAACTACAGTGATACAATGACATTTTTCCATGAATCCCAAAATGCAAAGGCATTTTAATTCCTTGTGCAAGATATAGCCTGATCCTGCATGGCTTATTGACCAATCAAATTGCGTGTTTCACTGTAGTTATTATATAATATAAATTCTTAGGGTGGTTTGAAAAGAAGATTGTTCTTTTGAAGCACATCTACTCCAGACTCGAAAATATGCACCAGTAGCAGTGTAAAGCCTTTTTTCGACATGTGCTGTGGCAAGGATTCAGAGAATGCTAAAAAATTTGGACAGTATTTGTTCAATTTAAAAACATATTAACTTGATTTACCAGTACAGCAGATGCCTGGAGTCGAAATGAAGTTGAAAAAAATTCCAATCAAATTTTAACATTTCCAATTGGTCGCCATTTTTCTGATCAATTTTGAACATTACAAAAAATGCGGTTCAGTTTTCATATCCTAAAAAAGTAGGATAGGTAGGTCGAATAAAACAAATTTCTTCAAATATTTTTTGCTTTGACATTGGTCAACAATTGTTGTGATCAGTTGGCATATTGCCCAGGGTTCAAATTAGCGGCTCACTATTCGCAATTTACGAATGCAAATTCACTTTTTGCGAATGCAAAATCATCCATTTTGCAAATGGCGTCTTGCAAAAACAATGTGTCAAAGGTTGATTTTCACAATCACTTTGAATGTATTTTGCTATAATGGAGTATTTTGCTGACTATTATTGTAATTTTGTACTAGAAGGATTGTGAAATGGCTACAATTTCTTCAGAATTCAAAATTCGCTACGAAACGACCACCATTTTGTTTCTTGCAAGCAGTGTTTCCACTTTTCAAAACTGAAATTTTCTTCAAATGTGCAAGAAGGAAATTTGCGAATCGATTCTTCCTGTCTAATTTGAACCCTGTTGCCCCAACATATAAACATTTCAAGAAGCACTAACTGTGAGCAACAGACAATATTTTTGGCATCAAGTTACATCATAAAGCAAACAACAAAAAATAGGGTAGGCAGGTAAGCAAACAACCCAACCATATCTAGAAAAAAAAATATTAGAGCAGAGAAAATAGGATTTCAGACTCTGATGTTTATATTGGGGTTTTAACTTGCTAACCAAGCTATTCACACCTTGTAGATGTACAGTTCAAATTCCAAGAATGTTGCACAACCTCATGATTGTGAAAAATGGACACATTCCAAGATCCTGAATAAGAGGTAAGTGATTTTTCTTCTATTTATTTCTAACCTCCTTGTATTTTGTGGACAATTTTCTTTGTAATATATTAATTTGTTTTGTATTCTCAATTTAGTGCATTTTTTTTATTTTCTAGAATCTAGATGTGTGTTGCAATTTCAAAGAATGTCTCGAGTTGTTGGCTGAAGAGTGAGGTGTTTTTGACCACAAAAGTGAACACTGTTATTGGAAAGTATATAAAAGGTCTTAATATTTTCTTGTCTTATCTTACATGAAATGTTTTGAACATTATATAATTGCCTGTGATCAATAGTTACAAAAAAACCAGCAGAATATTGCAAAAATAGCATGAGCATGCTACTTATGACACAAAATGCAAACACAATCTTTACACCTAAATATGGACTCTTTTTATTGCACTCTTTTTATTCTTTTATTACACCACTAATTCAACTTGTATAATTCTGGAAAATTTTAGTTTCGTGCATTTCTCAATTATTTGATTAAGTTTTGTGTTGCTGCTGATCATAGAAAGTCTATAATTTTCAAAGCATATAAGAATTTTGTGACCAAGCCAGAAAATGACAAACTGTCAAAAATTTTGTTCAACAGTGATGATTCGGTTTGGACATGCATTTTTCTGTTTTGGCATAACTGCTAAATCTTAAATTTGTGTTTATATGTGTTCTCCTGAGAACATAGATGTTTCTACATATTTCCAAAGTTTTTGTGAAATATAAAAAAATGAAAAGTTTGTCAGTATTTGGCTTTGTTACATCAGTTAAACATTGAGAAGATTGAGGTGGTTTTATTACAAACTAAAGCAGTTACTTACAAATAAGACGTGTGATTTTTTAAATTCTGGATTGAGTATTTTCTTTTAGTCATCTTTCATGTTTCGATCGGTGTTAATTTGTAGTATGTTTTCATTAAAGGATTAAAAGAACATTGATGAACATTTGACTCATCAAAATTTATGTTTTGAACTTATTGAAGTGCATTGTGAAAACAGTTAACTTATGTTTCATCTCAATCTTCTCTTGTTTAAGTGGACTTTCAGTGTTTGTTGAAAGTTTGGAAAGTTCATCTGAAAATCACAATGTAATGTTTCTTTCAATGTTGATTCTGGATGTTATTTGAGTCTTCAAATATTGAAACTTACAAAAAGCAATTAGTGATCCATTGAAGTATACAATACTTTTAAAATTAGTACTATTAGAACTGCCTTGTTGTTCAATAGTCCTGTCTTATTTATTTCAGCACACTCTTAATACATGAGTTTGATTATTCCTGGATACAAATAAAATGGATTTGTTGAGGAACAAGGCAGTTTTATACAGTACTGACTTATAGGAGGATTGTGTTCTTCAGTTGTTGTTTTTTTATTGTTGTGCCAACCACATTGTGGTTTTCAACAAAATTTTAATTTTGGAAACTGTGATTCTTAAAAATATTTCCCAACTTTAAAACAAACACTTAAGGTCGAAATAAGCTAGGATATTGCCTTTATATTTCATTACAAAGTGGAACTTATTTGAATATGGATGAACTGAAGCTCAGCACATAATACTTAATTTTGAGGGTATTGTGAGTTGGAGAAAATAAAAGAAAATTGATTCTTCATTATGCATGCATAGCAAGGAAAACCACAACCAGACTACAGGATGATCTTTGGAATATGTTTTGTATTATAGGGAATGAAAAACAATTGGCATTCAAAAGTATATATTGATTATCTTGTAAATCAGTCCGATAGTTTGGAATATTGTGGCTGAAGATAAGATTGACAGTTCTTTGTGGTACATGTTAATTAATCAATGGATAATTTGATAAGATTTGAATCAAAATTCAAGCATGGAATTAACCATATTTTTAATATCCATCAAAATTTGTGTGTGTTTCATCACACACAAGATAGGCAATGACTGAGATGCTTTTTATGTACCAAATTTTATACTTTGAATAAAAAGTTCTAGATTTTAAAATTCTATTTTCATTTAAATAATATCTGACCTACAACCCTAATATATTTAAGTTGGAAATTTTACTTTTGAATTTCATATTTTATTCAGATTCAATCAGATTTATTCATAATTAATTTTATTCTTTGGTTTGGATACTGAGATGAGAAGATTTATATTTTTTATTATCTGGTTGTGTTTAATAATTTAATAATTTTTTGGCAATTAAAATTAATTTGTTAGTTCATGCTATGTACATCTATTTCTTTTGCTTCAGTTCAACATTATTTTCGAATAGTTCCACTTTATAATGGTGTGTTATAATAGTCATAATAATAATATAAGCAAACAGGTTTACATGGCACTCGAACATGGTCTTTTCAACAAGTATGTAAAGGTAAGTTTGTACTTCAAAAAGGTCTGTTTTTAACCTGACAAGAATGCTGTCCAAAATTAACTAAAACTCAATCTTTGTGACCTTCAATGAAATTTCATATGTTGAATCAACAACCTACTACTGTATATATATTTTGATGTTTGTGTTTGGTTTGATTTGATGTTAATGATACTAGAAAATTATGAAAATGCAATATAATATTTTTGTTGAGAGAGATTCTAAAGATTGTATGGAACTGATTGTTCCTTGTGAGTTGTGAGGACTTGAGCAAAACTGTTTTTGTCTACTTTTGAGTTAACAAAGTATACCCAAAACTTATTTTCTGTTTTTATTATGCGAAACAATAAGTTCTTTTCCAATTGAAAATTTTCTTTTAGATTTGACCAATATGAATAAAAGTGTAAAAAAATAAGAAAATATTTTATGAACATTTGAAAGTTTGATTAATTTAAAGCATATTTTGTGTGTTTATGTACATGGTCATGGATATGGTTGTTACATATTTGCATCAAAAATATTTCCTGCAGTGTTTTTTTAAATATATAAATAATATAAAAACAGGACAACTTTTCCCTAAATGAAATTTAGGAGATGTTTATTTGTAAAATAATGGATCAATGTGTATCATTTTATTGTATTTATCGAGGACGAGAAATGTATCATTTTAAGTAAAGCAAATTGAAACCGAATTTTTGTTCCAAAAATGAATCAGAATTGGAGAGATAACATTCGTTTAAAATTTTGTTGAACTGCATTTTCATTACTTGAATTATTGTAACATTATATATAATCAATTCAAAGTTGTCAGGTTAAAAACGACGCTCAAATATATATGGCTCTGAAAGACCGCAGGATAATTTCAAATTCTTAAATATTTCTTGAACGAAATGTTCTTTGCACTTGAAAGAAATGTTCTTATATATATGTTCAATTGAGTATGGAACCAATGATTTAATCGTAATGTTTCGATGTTTAAAAATATCATTTCTGAGTTTAACGAAGTATGCTGTCAATGCATTGTCAAAATGTTAAGGTACTTTCAGGAAATTAATTTGCTTCGAGCAATGCCAATGGCAATGGAATTTGTTGTCAACCACAATAGACCTTATGCGGCATAATGACGTCACAAGGCTTGATGCCTGCGAGGAATGCTGCAGGTCTTAATAGTCATCGCCCTGGAAAATTTCGATAGTGGTCATTTTGAATTGTTTAATCTTACTGGGCGATGACTACTAAGACCAGCGTTCCTCGCGGGCATCAAGCCTTTTGATGTCATTATGCATATGGTCTATTTCTTGCCAACCACTTGACAACTGATCTCACATTACATCGAATGGACTTCTCTTAGCATCAAAACATCGCGATAAAATCATTATTTTCCATACTCAAGTGAACATTTTGGTCACTGTACCAAAAACAGTTTTATTCAAAAAAGTAAAAGCATGTTCGATTTACTTCGTCTTTGAGCCATATATTTTCTTTGTAAAACAACCTGGTGTTACGCTTTTGATTTCTCCGTCACAGTTGTTTTACAATATTTATTTTGAAGTATAAACATTTATCTTGAAAAGACCAGGTTCTCTTGTTTCCTCAAGAATTAACTTTTTTAATGTTAATTCGCGGGCAAACAAGTCTTTTAATGTTGTGTTTTCACTTGTGGTTATTCACTTGTGATGAACACAATGTTAATTGTTCTCTTTGTGCCATGTTCTGTTTTCTTCTATTGTTATTTAAATAAGTGTGCAGTGGTTGTTCTCTTTTTATTGTTATTCAATTTGTAATTACAATTCTTTTCAATAAATTGTTCATTAATTATACAAGAGACTCCTTTTTAATTAAAAATTCAATTCCCATGGGAATTGAAAAAAAAAAATAAAAAAAATCCCCCTACCCCGGCCGGCTCCCCAAGTGCCACCTCTACTTCAAGCAGAAGTACTTCTACTATATAGTAAAAGTACTTCTACTTAAAGTAGAGGTAGCACTCGGAGAGCCAGCCGGGGTAGCGGGGCAAAGAGAAGACCAACCTTGCAAATGCAAAATAATGCAAATTGCTAAGTCGATTTCTCTTGAGAGCAGCCACGCGCATACCTAGCAAATGTAAAACAACAATCATTAGTAACAAATACTCGGCATGCAAATTTTGAATCCCATGGTCGAAATGACAAGTGCCCCCCACTGATTCCTACCAACTGCCTACCTGCCTCAATCCTAAGCTGTCTGCCTCAGTCCTAAGCTGTCTGCCTCGGTCCTAAGCTACCTGCATTCCATTCGTAACTTCCCCTTTCCTCACCATCACACAGACACTCACAACTGCCCAACCTGCCACCAGCCCGAACTGCCCACCCTTAAAACTGAAGGAATTAATATTTTGATAAAATATTCAGAATTAATTTAATTAATTGAATATTTTAGACCAAACGTAAACAGATAAATTAAAGGTTGACGATCAGAAGAAAAGCCGCGTATACAAACAGGTCAGTTTCTTACTTGCCTCTATATATGAAATTTACATAGAAAAATATACAAAACCTCGAAACCCGGATTTTCCTTCTATGTATGCTTTACTATAATTTTCGTTTAATTTGAACGAAACTCGACAAATTTTGCTGGTATTATGAAATTAGTCCTTTTGTTCAGAAAAGATATATTTTCTCTTTAAATATGCTCTCAAAATTTTAATTCCTTTAGTTTAGCCTAACCCCATGCATCCTATACACACGGCGCACACTCTCGCACTCCATACATTTAGCTAATAAATTACGTTATAAACAAAAAAGCAAAATAAAAAGATAAATTACGTTATCACTAGCTATCCTATAACCCACTTAGACTGAGTTTTGGATTCTGGTTCGAAACGTAAAATCTTAACTGAAAGGGCATGGGCTTGAGTTTTGTTAACTGGTCCGAAATAAATACAAACCTTAAACTTACCTAAACCAAAGGCTCGATTAAATAAGCATGAGAATACATAGAATTATTTTAAAAACTTTTTCATAACAATTTAAAATCGAAATGAAATTAAAATTTCAATGTCGCTAATTTAGTGAGCATATATATAGTACTGTTTATCTATATAGTTCAAACAGATCGAAAGAGACTTAACCGCAATTCTCATACTTATTTAACCGGAACGCCTTGTTGATCATTTGCATGGCACGTCGCAGCTGCTCTGCTTACAAGTAACAAGATACTTATCATATTTAATCAAAGAGGATTCATTATAAAGTCAGTTTTCCACTATGAAATCAACATCAACATGAAAACAAAGCATAATATATTCCCCTGGGAATTGAAAAATATGGAAAAAAATAAAGTTGCAAAATACCTTTTGGCCAAAATAAAAAATAGTATATTCCCATGGGAATTAAACACAAGAAAAATAAATCCACTCCAATTCTTAACTTTTTAACGCTTGAAATGGGCGTGCTTGTTTTATCATATGTTGATTTCATTGCGAATACAAGACTTAGGGACCGCATCTCACAGTTATTTTATTATCAACACCAACTGACGATGGAAAAGAGGAAATGCTTGGAGCTAGATTCCAAGCCATGTTTATCTTACATTAACCTAAGGATTAATATTTTGTTTTTAGAAAAGACTACAATCGAAAATATTCCAGGCAAGATTTCGTGCTTTTAAGGTATTGTTGCTTCGATCTTTTTTATACAAACAGTTCTCTACTATCAATTTTGGAGACTTTTTTGTTGTTTTAAAAAAAATTGTGAAATGATACGTCACCATACTCCATAATAGAGTCTTAATACAGTCATAATACAGTGCGTTGTCGCGTTTTTGAAAGTTTTATCCAAACGTTTTACCTGATTGTGAGGGCAGTTATTTCTATACTCCGAAAATTGGGAAAACAAAGTCGAAAAATTCGCCAAACTCGTAGCATGTTTAGTTTCAGAGAGAAAATCATTGTATTCACTTGAATCCCCTTTGATCTGTAAATAAGTATTTTGTCTTTAACTAACTTACATTGGTAAAATTTTTCGCTACTTTCATATTAGCAATGTTGTGGTTTTCGATTGTTGCGAATCGTCATTCTTTTCTCGGCTCCATGCCATTCGTGAGTGGCTCTTTTTTGTGTTTTCATCATCTCTTTTCATCACATCAACATTTCATCACTTCACCTTTTGAAATTAAAAAGTATCCGTGAGTCTATGAAATAGGATCGAATCATGTTAAAGGCTTGAATTATATTTGGTAGAGAAGAACCCACTATTAATATTATAATATTACCACTAATATAATATTAGTGGTAATATTAATTGACCATTTGAAACATGAAATATTGATGTATATATTATAATTAATAATGTCGATGATAGCCTAGACCATAGTTAATAGAGGAGATGGTTTGGAAACTCATTAGCATTACAATAAACCTCACTATCTATGTTTTTGTTCAGGTTTATGCAAAAATGTGGTCTTTCATCGTCACGTGCGTATTGTATTTTTGCTCAACCAGCCAATAGCAACGGTTTTGACCAATTGCCCATCTCTGACTTTAACAATAGGACATTTTGAACATTCCTATTGGTTGACTTGAGAAAAATACAATACGCACGTGACGATGAAAGACTACATTTTTGCATAAACCTGAACAACATAGATAATGAGGTTTATTGTGATTTTATTGTAATGCTAACGAGTTTCCAAACCATCTCCTCTACCTAGTCCTTTACACGGCAGATTTTGGTCAATTTTGGGCTTGCATTTGGTAAGTATGACGTCACATGCTTTCGTCCATCCTCCCCCTCACCTCCACGACACGTGGGTCCCAGTCTTCTCGTGTGAAAAAGCGCCGAAATTAAAAATAAAAGGTCAAGGTGTAAGCTTAAAAAAGAGTGTTTCATGTGACGTCACAGCAACCATGTTGGAGGATAATATCCAGTGGGCGCCAAGGGGTTGGACGAAATTGTGTTGCCATCATACGATCAGCTATTCTTGTTCAAATGACAAGAAGGTAAGAATTTTGTCTGCGCATGCGTCAAAACTAGCGCGGTGAACGGATAGGAGACCTGGGGAAACCTGGGGAGTGTAATTATCACATTTGATTTTTGAGCGTTTTATTTGTTTTTTGGCCTAGTTTTTCTACTGAAAAAAAAAATTTATTTAATGCTTCGTTGGGAAGGAGGGAAAGCTACGGGAGAGGGAAAGAGAAAGAAAACAAAAATGTATAAAAATCAAGCTTTTACGTAACTTTATAGGTCGGGAATGCTCGGTTTCCGACGGAAAATCGCGAATTTTCCTATCTTTAAAAAAATATACATTGACTAGTAAACGAAGAAAGGTCCAGTACATGTTTGCGAATACGAAGTTATGTTTTTGCAAATCTACTATTCACCAGAAAAGAACAGTTAATTAAGAACTCGAAAACTTTTAAAATAATTTTTCGAATGCGCCTAAATTATTGAGCAGCGCGGACAAAATTCCTGCCTGTTGAAACAAAGGGAAATAATGATAGTGCATGACACTTAAATATCGTTTCAGAATTATAGTTGTTGGTATACGCATTTCGGTTTCGAGCGCAATTTGAAAAAAAATACACGAGTGAGTTATTCAAAGACGATCGAAATTGCATGAGTCTCAAGTACGAGTGCAATTTGAAGTCCTTGAAAAGCTCACGAGTGTATGTTTTTCCAAATTGCACGAGAAACCATACTATTGCTTTTTATAATATACATGAAAAAATTATGTAGACGCAAATTCATGGTCACTTCGATTCCAGGCACGAAACATTAGAAGTAAATCATTTACCCACCGACCCACTCAAACGACCCAAGCAGTCAAAATGTGCTTTATTTTGCTTTTTTCGAAATATTTCGTTTTGGCCCTGTATTCCTTTTTGGCACTGTAATTCAATCAGTAAATAATGTAATAATTTTTCATGTATATTTAAATATTTGGTTTTAAAAAATACTTAAATTATTGCCTAAGCATGCACCAGCAAAACTTACATTCACTGTATCTTTGCATCGTCATTGCTTCTGTTTGAACGTTGGTCGCGGTTCTTCATTTCTGTTGATGATCCATCATGGTCCGCTCAACGTACAGTAAATCACCATAAAAAATGGGAAACAATTCTGTTAAGAAGCGCAGCGATAGGACTTGCATGCAAATGGTTTGAACGCTAAATTTGACTTAAGTTGTAAATAAACGATACGATTTGCATGCAAATGCGAGAATGAGAGTGATTATAGTACACATATGAAATGCGGTGGCATACCTAATGAGTAATGCATAAAAAATAAATAGAATTCTCTTAATTGTGTAGAACATAAATAACAGTGACATATCGTACATTTTCTATCATCTTTGGATAGTTGTTGCTTCTTTCGGTCGTCATTCTGTCGACGTCTTCTACCACTTTCTCATCTGCTTGTTCCTCTTTGCTCTCGCTTGAATTGTGTCGTCCAGTTCTTGCCTTCATATCACTCCACCTAAAAATATGCAATAAAAATTTTAGGAAACAATTTTAAAAGAATGGCAGGAGAAAATTTTACGATGTAGGTTAGAGTTTTTGAACAATTGTTACTTGTTGAAAAACAACTAGTATCATAGCAACCCAGAAAATATATGTATTCACTTAAAAATGCGTTACAGTTAATTAAAAACATTTAAAAATGCGCATAAAGTTCGCCTGGCTCATCCTCGTACCCAGGGTTTCTTTGGGTGGAACGTCCCTGCGACGGAGGTTGCGCCTGCAGACTCGCATGATTACGTCATTGTATTGTCATATATAAGAGGATAAGTATAATATCTTGAGGCTGGAAACTCTTTCACAAAATACATTTTACGCAACATATTGAAGCAACAAAATTAACGCAAATTTCTTGATACTTTTTACAGTTGAAAAAAGTTTAGCAGCGTTTAAATTCCTTCATTAAAAAGCTCGTTTTCATCGAAATTTTGCTGTAGACAGGCGGGGTATGCAAATTGCTGGACAAATGTCATCATCGGAAAATCCATCATCTTTTACTGGCTGCTGAAAAATCGGAAAATTCCGAAGAAAGTTCATTGACTGCAGTATATTATACTCGGAATTTTTCGATTGTTCAGCAGCCAATAAGAAATAAGCCGATGGTTTTTCCGATGATCGCATTAGACCTTATGCATAATGACGTCACAAGGCTTCATGCCCGCGAGGAATGCTGGGTCTTTATAGTAGTCATCGCCCGGGAAAATTAACAATTCAAAATGGCCACTATCAGCATTTATCGCGGGCATCAAAACTTGTGACGTCATTATGCATGACCGTCTATTTGCATCCCGACTATATCTACAGCAAAATTCCGATGAAAACTAACTTTTTATTCAACAAATTTAAGCACTTCTAAACTTTTTCAACTCTAAAAAGTATAAATAAATTTAGAAAATATATCCAAAGTGTTTTGTATATTTGTTTTGCTTCGGAAACTTGCGTTGCTTTTGTTGTATCAAGCGATCGTATTAATGTGTGTAAATGTAATTTGTGAAATAGTTGCCAGCCTTATAGGATGTTACACTATGTGACAATACAATGACGTAACCGTTCGAGTCTGCATACATAATGAGCTACACAATAAAGTGCTAGATCAATGTCAGACGAACTTTATGCGCATTTTTGCTGGGTTCTTTCAACCATCAACTTCTAAAGTCAGGTGCAATATAT